GATTCATAGTAATTACAATGAAATTCGCCAATGCAATTTAAAATTCTAATTAAAAAATATATATATTAGTTAGGATTTGATAATGCATAATAATAATAATAATAATAATTACACTTACCAGAACTACTAGAACTATTATCACTGCTGGATGTACAAATTGCACCTTTACAGACAGCCCAAGAAGGTAATTTATTTATTTTGGATTCAGGTATTTCAGCAACTAGGCTAGTATAATGTTCATCCTCTTGAGTAATACGAATACGTTCATCAGGTTGAACTCAACCACTACTTTTTTCACCTGATTCATCAACTCTTATAGCTTGATCGATTTGTTCAATAATACGGATAGCCTTAAAAATAATCAAGTTATTAATATAATCCCTGCATTTGAATTGAATCATTAAATTGACTAGTCCTTAATAAGTAAAGTATTTGATATGGGAATTAAGACCCTAAATAGTTACTGCTATACATTCGTAAAAAATTAGAATCGGCAAATAGATAATTATTCAACACCAAATACGAGCCAACCAAAGTCAAATTTCAGAATCATTTATGAATAGAAATCAATTCGAACATTACATGGTACAAATATATAAAAAAAAATAACGATGCAAATTACTTCTTCTGATCTAAAAGCCATTTCTGGAACATATAATTTTTTTCTTCCACGCTTTTTGGCTGATGTTTCAGCTTCATCTTCACTTATTTCAAAGGAAGTATAATTGATTTGAAGAATTTTGAGAATTTCTTTGTAAGGATGTGAGAAAGTAAGCTCCGATGCCTTTTCAGTTCGTGCAACTGATTTCTGAAATTATATTAATAGTAATGTAATATTATCAATTTATTTATAGCGACAAAAAAAAAAAATACTCACTCTATGGTGGTGTTGACTACGACGAAGTGCAATAACATTCTCTTGTGCCTTACTGGTGTTATTTTCTAACAAATTATGTTGTTTGCGCAAATAAGTTACGTATGCAACACAAATTTTTCGAATAGTTAATGCTGTCTACGTTTCTCTTTCAGCTAAAAATAAACATATATATAATATGAGAAACATAAATAAATAAATTATATATATGAATTAGCATGATAAATGAATTTCATGAATCCTATGAATCCTGTATATTACCATCATTTTACAATAGTAATATTCAAGATTTATAAGATTCGTGAAATTTACTTATTGCTAATTTAAAAACAGCGATAGTAACTCTAGCAAGGTAAGATTATAGTAAATAAATTAGCTTACAAGCGTTTAGATTATCCTTTAGTTCCTGCTGAAAAAACTTTACATATGCTTCAGTGACATCTCTATTATGGGGTACCGCAGGAGTTTTATCTAAATTGTATACATAGGTATGTCTGATATCCTTAGCAACACTCAACCTTCTCTCTTTTTTCTTTTTGGTCTATTTTAAATGCTGATTAATTTTTATATGAATTCTTTCGCATAGAACTGGAAAGAATTTTTTAGACTTTTTTTTGTTTCGTTTCATTGGTCGGCCATCTTCAGTGCAGTCAGTGATTTCTTCGTCAGATTCTTCAATATAGTCATTATTATCGTCATCATCAACTTCAATAGTGTTAGGTTTAGTTAAAATTTCTTTTGAACTTTTTCTGTTTATTTCACCTTTTA